TTGTGATGCCATTTGGTCTTTCAAACGCCCCGTGCACATTTCAGAGCCTAATGAACCATGTGTTTCAAGATGTCGTGCGGAAATTAGTCTTGGTATTCTTCGACGATATTCTTGTTTACAGTCGGGATTAGGAATGTCACCTCCTTCATCTTCAGGAAGTATTCTCGATTCTTCGCCAACAGCAGCTCTGTCTGAAACCCTCGAAATGTATGTTTGGAGCTACAACTATTGAGTATCTCGGGCACTTTATCTCCGCAGTGGGTGTAAGCACTTGCCCCAAAAAGGTGCAGGCTGTAGCACAGTGGCCAGCACCCTTGACACAGAAGCAGCTGCGTAGTTTCCTTGGCCTCGCCAATTACTACAGACGCTTCATACACGGTTACAGTGTCATTGCTCGCTCTCTCACCTCTTTACTCTGCAAAGATGGTTTTACTTGGGGTCCTGAAGCAGCAACTGCCTTTGCTAATCTGAAAGAAGCGCTCACATCAGCACTGGTTCTTGCTCTTCTAGACTTCGAGAAAACATTTGTAGTTGAGACTGATGCTTCTAATACAGGCATCGGCGCTGTGTTGATGCAGGACAACCACCCCATTTTCTACATCAGTCGTGCACTTGGTCCTCGGCATCAGTCTCTCTCAGTGTACGAAAAGGAGCTAATAGCTGTTGTTCATGCTGTGCAGAGTTGAAGTGCCTATCTTTTCCACCGGTCTTTCATCATCCGAACCGATCAGAAGAGCCTTAAGTTTATGGTTGAACAAAAGGCTTCCACACCCTTCCAGTTCATGTGTCTTTCCAAACTGATGGGGTATGATTTTGAGATCCACTACAAACAAGGCAAAGAGAATGTAGCTGCTGATGCTCTCTCCCGTGTTACTGGGTCACAACTTCTACACATTACCCTGTCACAAGCTCATCATGGATTCTTTGATTCTCTCAAACTCTTATGGCAAGCAGATCCACACTTGAAGCGGGTAATTTCTGATCTTCAATCTGACCCATCTTCTCATCCTGCGTATACATTTGTCAATGAAGAGCTGTGCAGAAAAGGGAAGCTCATAGTCGGAAATGATGCTTCTGTCAAGACTCACATCCTTACCTGGTTACACGATTCAGCCGTGGGAGGGCACTCCGGAAGAGATAAAACACTGCATAGGGTCAAATCTTTATTCTACTGGCCTAAGATGAACCTTGAGGTGCAAGCTTATGTTCGTAACTGCTCGGTTTGCCAGAAGAATAAGTATGAGTATGTTGCAAAGCCGGGTCTCCTCCAACCGCTACCTATCCCCGATGGTGTTTGGGAATCTGTCAGTATGGACTTCATCGAGGGGCTACCTCCGTCTGCGGGAAAGCACTGCATCTTAGTCGTGGTGGATAGGCTGAGCAAGAATGCTCATTTCCTAGCCCTTTCCCACCCCTACACAACAGCTGAGGTAGCGTAGTTGTATCTGGATCAAATCTTTAGGCTTCACGGGATGCCAAAAGACATCGTCAGCGACAGAGACCCTACCTTTCTCAGCGAGGTTTGGAAAGAGATGTTCCACGTTCATGGAGTCGAGTTGAAGTACTCAACGGCCTATCACCCTCAAACTGACGGTCAAACTGAGGTAACTAATAAAATCCTTGAGACTTACCTCCGTTGTATGACTGCAGAAACGCCTCATACGTGGAGCAAATGGTTACCTCTTGCTGAATGGTGGTACAACACCACTTACCACTCGATCCACAGTACTCCCTATGAGATTGTGTACGGGCAACCTCCTCTGACCCATCTTCCCTACTTACCAGGCGAAAGCTCATCTAGCATGGTTGATCGTAGCCTGCAGAAGCGCGAGGAGGTTATCACTATGCTGAAGTTTCATTTACTACGAGCACAGAACCTGATGAAGCAAGCTGCTGATTCTCACTGCTCCTCTCGGGCTTTCTCTACGGGTGATCATGTGTATCTGAAGCTCCAGCCATATCGCCAGCACTCACTCAAAACTCGGAAGGTTCCGCACAAGCTCTCCCCAAGATTCTACGGACCTTCCCGCGTTATTGATAAAGTGGGCACAGTCGCTTATAAACTCGACTTACCAGCGGATGCTGCCATTTATAATGTGTTTCACGTAAGTCAGCTCAAGCTCTGTCCTAATCCATCTACTGCTATATCCGTTTTACCTCAGTACTGGTTGGACTTGGACAATTTGAAAGAACCAAAGTTAGTGCTCGACAAAAAGGTGGTTAAACGTTGCAACACTGCCGCTACTAAGGTGTTGGTCCAGTGGAAGGGCGAAACTCCAGCACATTCTACTTGGGAATTCTATCAGGACATTATCGCCAGGTATCCTCACTTCCATCTTTGAGGACAAAGATGATGTCGAGCAGGGAATATTGTGACAGGCATTCCCTGTATATTTTACATTTCCGGTTCTATTAGAATTGGTTTGACAATTTAATTATTAAGTCCAGTTGTGTAACCCGGTTTTGGTCACTTGTTAGACCGTTGCAACAATCACACTTTATGTATTGAGTACGGGCTCTTTCCCGAGAATAATCAGAAATTTGTTATCATCTCCTTTCCTCTTTCTCTATCTGAAATCGTACGCCATTGTTGTCACTACGGATCTTATTCTTTAAGGTAGGTCTTCTCTCTCATGGCTTGATTTCACCATACTTCAGATCTACGGTGGATCTCTAGTTGGTTTACATCTCTTACACTAATATCTCTGCCTCGCTTTGTCTGAAGACGCTCTCAGATCCATCTATGGCCACCATAATCCTCAGGAGGTATGGTTTTCTCTCGCCAAAAAGATCAATCGCATCTCTGCATCTAGAGAAGTGATCTTCAACGTCGCTTGAACTCTGTTTCTAAACAAGGGAAAACTTTTGCTGAATATTTGAACACTGTGAAGCAAATCTGTGACCAGCTTGACTCTATTGCCACAGATATTGAGAGTTCTATGGATTCCTTTCCTGGTCCAACCTTTGAAGATGTTGTGGTTAAGCTGACAAACTTCGATAATAAGATCAGCACAAAGTTTGTGACTCACTTGACCCGTTGGGGAATTACATAAGAAGCAAAGGAGGGAACTTTAAAGACATTAAACTTTCAACCCCAAAAAAAAAACTCTGCTAACGTTTTTGATTTTGCATTCTAGATACTCTGAAATATAAACACCATTGATGGAAACATGTTGGTGTTAATTTTTGTCTTTCAGTTTCACATACAAATGAAAAGGATTGTACCAAATATCAAATACCAAACTTACATTCAAAGATCAAAGTTCACTAATTACTTACCAAACATGAAACTAAAAGACTTGAGTTCATAGCTTATAGACACGAGAGATTACCCAAAAACCATCATCACATACGAAAAAACAAAGCAGATCACTCACTCTTCAGAGATTGGTCCAAGAAAGTCCCCTTCAAGGCTAGCCAACGCCTGAAACTCCCTCTCTGCATCCATCCACTTCGTCGCGAGCACCACAAACCTAACCGTAGTCTCAAGCTGAATCCTAGACGTCTTCTCATTCATGAAGATCGGCTTTTCTCCCGGAACATACTTGTAATCCGGCATCTTCGCGTAGGAGAGGTAAACTTTCTCTATCGGACCACACCTCAAGAAGACGCCGTGCTTCAATACCTTCTGCACCACGCCCTGAAGTACCTCTCCTTTGAAGATCTTGAAAGTCAAACCGCTGAATACCACCGGGAACATAACCTCGCCGGTGTGCTCCCTGATCTTGCCTTCTCCGATCTTGTTGAGAGTGGTGACTGCCAAGTAGTAGCCGAGCTCCTTGGTCGCTTTCTTTGATGCGAACTCCTCCATTAACTGTGTCAGTATAGCCCTCTTCAGCATCAGGCCTTTCGCGTCCATGTTTTCAGCTGGAATCATCACGTTCCATGGTAACTCGACTTTGAGGAACATTCTTCCACCTTCAAAAACCAAATCAAAACAATCAAATACCTATACCTATTTACCATTGATCCACACAAGAAAAAAGGAAGTAGACCATATGTTCTAGGTTCCATTCTAAAAGCAACATCAAAGTTTCACAAAACACAATCAGTAACAACAATAGATCAACAGAATGCAAGTTACTTTTGCTCAAGATAAGATCAAAGCTTCTGGCTTTTTATTAAAACTTTGGACACAGTCGCTTTTGGATTCAATCAAATCGATTACATGCACCAGAAAAGTACCAATTCAAACTATCTACTGTACTCAAAACTGCGAGCTTTTTCACTGAAAAGTTTCTGTCAGGCATTTAAGCAAACAGTGCGCAGGCATGTAAGCATCCAAGAGAGAACCATCAAAACCTTCATCAAAAGTTAACAATTTTAAGAGAAACAAAAGACCCAACAAGTTTTATAGTTTGCATTCTACGATGAAGTACCAAAAACATCGTTTTTTCCACATTTTCTTGAAAAAAACAAACAGACCCTAGACTGAAAATGTCTCCGAAATCCGTTGAGAAATCAGCAGATAGAAAAGCCATACCTTTGCTTTCGATTCTGAAGAGGAAAGGAAAGAAACGAGAATCGGAAACAGAGAGAGCTAAACTGGTTATGAAGAGTCAACAATGCGAGCGAACGAGAGAGTGAGACTACAGTCGTTGTACTCGTCAATGTCACTATACTCCTCGTTTCTGGATGTTTACATGTTGGTGGGCTTTTAAAGGCCTATTAATACTGAGGCTATTTCTTGGCCCATTGTTATGTTCAAATTGAACATTTTTTGGGGGGTCAACATGTATGTTCCGAATTTAATTATTCAACACAGAAGTGTATGTCCGTATATGGACTCTTCATTTTTCTACATTCAAATTCAATAATATCTTTCAAAAATCACTGTAATATCTCAAAATTTCAACACCATTGTTCATATAAGCTTTTTTCCCAAATCTTACAATAACATAGTTTGATCATAATGTTGATCTCAAAGAAACTACATCATGTAAAACTAATTTACAGCACAAGAGTAAAAACAAAACCAAAGAGATGGGTTTAATCTTGTCTTAAACCGGAACCTTTTCCGGGAGTCTGGTACTTCCGGTTACACTCAAACTGTCGTAGTAATCAACAAGCACTTTCCAGCCTCCAGGGCACATAAATCCATCTGGTGGGCTTTCTTTGTTCTTAGCTAATCCTCGCATCTATACAAACCAAACCGAATTCAGAAACTGAATACTTCCGATTATATGATGTACAAATTGGTCTAAGAAGTTGTAATTACCTTAGTGCCAGAGATGAACAAGAAGTCCTGAGCCCTCGAGGGATCAAAGAAAGCCATCTTGCCTTGTGTCTTATCATACGCAGCAACCTAAAATCGATTGAAACAAGAAAAATCAGAAATCAAAAAGCTTAATACTTTGAAAGGAGATGATACCAATGTTTGAGTATGCTGTTTTTAATACCCTGAAAGGAAGAATGTTGAGTCGTTCGAGTCCAGGAGCCATGCTTAGTACTTTCTTGCCGTGATCAGCATCATAGAGGTCACGTTTCTCCACCGGATGACCCATTCCGGCTGGATCCCTACCAACGATGTAGAAGTTAGCTCCGGCATTGATCCTAGCCTTTGCGTGCCACTGTACTTCCGTCGGACCAGCGTAAAGCATTGGAGATGGGAATATGGAAACCACCGTCGTCTCTGGATCAAGAACACCATCCTCTAGCACCTAATTTTGAAGTCATTGAAACCGTTTTCAGCAACTAGGTTAACAATAACAAGCACACACACACAAAAAAAGAGAGGCTTGCTTTGCATTTTATACCTTCTCGTGCTGTTTCATTCGCCAGCTTAGAGGAACGTCATCCGCTTTCGTGAACCCTCCAAGTGGGTGAAGCAAAAGGATCGGGTTCTTGTAACCCATCTCAAGAAGTCTCCGGCGAGTATCGGTCATGAGGAGGGCGTGTCCGTTGTGAACCGGGTTCCTGAGCTGGAACGCGAAGACAGCATCAGCGCCGCGTCTCTCTAGCTCGCTCCGTAGCTCTGACGGCGAGAACCTGAAACGGTCAAGCCCGTCGTTGTACTTGACAGGTTCAAGAACCTCAAGGTCACCACCAATGAGCCAGTTTCCGGCGTTGGTTATCGCCTCTTCTGCATAAGGCAAGCCTGGAGCGGTGGTGCCCCAAGTTCTAGCGATTCGTTCTTCTTTGGGATGTTTGTAAATCTCAATGCTGATGAAGGAGAATCAGAATCAGTCACAGATATACTATTCATTTGATTCCTAAAATCCCCAAAAATGTCACAAGCAACTACGAAACTACATATTCTAAGCTTGATTCTTCGATCCTAATGGAACTTTTCAATTTGAAAAAACCTAATGAGATCAATGAAACAGGGGATGATAATGATGATGAACTTACTCGCTGAGGATAGCGATGGGATTATCATCGGAATCAACAAGCGCGACTCGTTTCGATTCTCCGATTAGGGCTTTCTGTTCATCGTCGATTGCGAGAACGATAGGCACAGACATGTTGACGACGGATCCGTCGTCGAGACGAAGCGAATTGAAATGAAGAGTTTGGAGGAACTCAGATTCCCTCATAAACCCACGGAGAGGACTTGCCCAGCCTTCGCTCAACACGTGCATCCACTGTAAACCGACCGCCGTCAGTTTCACTCGCGGCAAATCCGCCGCCTCGTGTTTCTTCTCCCGTCGTCTCGGCTCCGGCACCACGAGCTCCACGAGCTTTCCGCCGTCGGGCTCGATTAGCGCAGCTCGTACCTTGAGGGATCTTAGGCTACGACTTCTCGAATTCGAGGGAAATGAAACCGATGCGGTTGCGAAATCGGATTTGTGGGATTTGGCGAGAGGCTGAGATAGGAAAGTGGTTGGTTTAGGGAAGACGGTAGACATGGAAGCCATTGAATGAGAATCAGAACAAATCAGCGAGGAATGTGAGAAAAAAGCTGATTCAAGCGTTCTCTAATGGAGATCTGATGTTTTTGATTTTTTGCAATTCAATTTGAAGTGGAAGAAGAAGTGAGTATTGGTTTTATAGAACACAGGCGATTAGTTTAAGCCTTAAGGACTCTCCTGCAAAATGTACCTGGACATTGTTCTTTTCTTTAAAATTTTAGGCCACGTTTAGTTTTTTTTTTCCTAATTAGTTAATACTAAAAAATAAAAATTTGGTGACCATATTGATTAAGAAAGAAATTTGTATAATTAACTGTTTTTTAAAAAAAAAATTGATCAACTGATTTGTTATCACTTGTTTGTCAATATTTCAGAAATCATTCAGAAATTATTTTGGTACAATCTCAAATACAGACCACTTTTATTTTTGTAGAAAATATAATTTCCATAATTTAGGAACATTTAAAAAATGCTACAATTTTTTTTTTTTTTTGACAAAAGGCTTTGCTACAAATTTTATCCGGGATATCATTCCCTATATAAACCATTCTTTTAAGTAATGAGTTAAGTTTTGTTTTATGTATTTTTTGTACACGTTCAATGTTTTAGAAAAATCTCAAAGCACTAGTTTATCTAGAGAAACTTAATCTTTATTTATTTGACAACACAAAACAATATTGTAGGAAACAAGAACTTGTGTTAGGACCGATGCCTCCAATCAAACTTTATCCAAGAATCCGTCGAGGTTCGACCAGCTTATTTAGATTCACGTGAAGGCCATGTGATATCACCAATATTCTCTTTATCACTCTACTTATTTTTTTTCATTATATTAAGAGTTATATAATACTAGTATGTTTAGTTTCATAAAATAATGCCGGCTCAAGAAAAGTGCATCTATTTATTAAACTTTAATCATATTTTGTGGACTCGTGATTATGGAGCTCATCACTTTTGACCTGACCTTAACCTTGAGTCTTGACCTGAAGAATGAAGGTACCACGAAACTGTATTCTATGTTTTATTTCTTTTTTGACGGCGAAATAATTTGATATTTCATTTTTTTTAAAACAAAATTGATATTTCTTTTGTCTATCTCCTTTACAGATAAAATAATATGATTAATATAGGACAAAAAGCATGGATAATGTCGCACTTGAGTCAGTTTATTGGTGGCTTAGGACTCATGCACATTCAACATGTGCAAATAAGAATTCTGACGATCGACCTACCCTCCCTCATATTTACTACTCTCTTCGTTCTATATTGTATGATGTTTTGAGTTTTTTATTTTGTTCTACAAAGATTGATTTTCTACATTATATTTAATATATTTCTGTTTTTAAAATAACTTTTTAGGTAAAAAAATATAAAAAATTAGTATTAAATTAATAAACAAACAAAAAGTACTTTAAAAAAGTAAATAATTATTGTTTTCTTAATATCTATGAAACATCTAAAACATTATATATTCTGGAACGGAGGGAGTATTTACTCATAGCGATAATTAAATAACAGGTAAAAAAACAATAACAGGAAAGTCTATGATAAAAAATACTCTTAATTGGTGTCAAGGCCGATGCAAATATATTTTAAGAAATTACAGTTTACAGCATCTTTTCTTTATAACGGATAGTTTTACAACATTTGTATTTGTTTTTTTTTTTAATTAAGGATTTTTAAATTAAGGTGTTTTGATAATTCTAATTGCTTTGTTCAGTTTTTTGTGTCGTATTTGGGACCACCTCTAAAAATTCTTTGTAATGTTGCCTCTATCTGTAGTTAATCGCAATTTTTGGGAATTGGATTTCATACTTCCTAATGTACAAGGATTAATTAAATATTTGATCAATCAAATCACTGTATTAAATGGGTTTCCACACTTTGTTCACTTTTAAGTTTGTTTTAATGAAACATCGTTGATTTTATGATTTTATTTATTTATTTATGGTTGTACACTTGTACTGTATTTTTTTTTCTTTTTCTAAAACATTATTTCCTTTTCTCTAATACTCTGAGTCTTTGAATGTCAGATTGAATTTTATGGGGCCATCAACAAAGCTTGTCACAGCCCATTAGTAGCTACGAAATACTCTATCAAACTAACCGATTGTTTTCAGCATAGATAACGCGATTGGGCTTGGGTTTCACTTCTACGGGTCTTATTGTTCGGCCTTGCTGAAACCTTGGCTGGAGTGTCAAAGTATTTGGATGTCTTCGTTAGTCACGAGAACACTTTTCATCTTGAAATCAATACACACTTGACACTATAGTGTCTTGTAGTGCTACTGCTGTAGTAATTGTTATAGTTTTACTGATGTAATTGTCATCCCTTTCCCGTATTTGTAACTATAACATGAAAATAATCACGTGATAAGCCTCAAAACAATTCATGTTTCAACAAAATGAACTATCTCCACTAAGAATTAAGAAGAACATTATCCATATATCAAATTTTCTCCAATTTTCATACAAATATAAATTGATTAATTTGTAAATATTTATGCTCTTTATTACCGTATCCAAAACAAATTTGCACGTAGGAGATTTGGGCACGCAGCCGTATATGGGACACATAACGAGGCAGCATGGGTCTGCTATAATGAAAGTTAAGTAAGTTCCAACACAATTTGAGATGAATGCGACATGTCTCGAAAGGAAACTACAAGAAACAAAACTTGCGAGTGAATATTGTGAGCCATTATTTGTTTTTGATACGGCGAGATAAAATGTTTGTTACATGGTTTTTAACCACAAATCAGAAATCAAGGAAGATGTTTGTCTATGTGTGTGTGATGAAGGAAGCCACGTCATCAATTCACTTGCACTTTTCAACTAGACGTGGCTTCTTAGAATCCCCACCTTTACATTCCTCTCTTTTTGCAAATTTCATTGCCTACGTGTTTTTTTGTTTAAACATTCATCACAAATTCATGTATACATATTGTTTTCATATTTTCCAACGATTACATGTATAGAATAACTTAATAAGAATGAAAAATAACTCTTAAATAAGATCTACTACATATTATTTGAGAAATAACATTATTGAAAATAGCTTACTTGTCAATACTACAGCCAAATTTAGTGCTTTTAATTGATGACATGTAAATGTGATATGTCAAACTTCCTAAAATAAATGAAATATTTTGATTAGTTGAATTAAACTTATAATTATGGAATTAAAACATAAATAAACTAGATTATATTTATAACACTAAAATTAACAAATTAAAATTAACAGAAAATAAAAGTTATTATAATTTTAATTTTTTACATATATTCATTATTTCATAAAATATATTTATGAATTTTTTTTAACAATATATATATTATAATTTCACATAAAAACAAAAAAATATAATACTAAATGATCCAATAGAATAGTAAAAATTCGATTTATTAATAATACTTGAAGTATGATATATTTTTATATCGCAAAGTTATTAATTTACAAAATATAATAATAACATCTAAACAAGTTCTAAATAAAAAAAATTATTAAATAATACAATTTTAAATAAAATACAATCATGATAAAAATAATTTAAAGAATAAAATGTTAAAATAATAAAATAATTAACTTTTATTGAAATGGTTTAAAAAAATGTAATTTTAAATAATTTCATTTTCAAACTGATATTAACTAATTGAATAAAGTATATACTAATTATTATTTTATAATATTAATAGGACCATATATTTTTCTATAACTTTTATCATCTTTTTATTGTTGCTTTCTAAAATGTACATAACTTATGTTACCATCTCATCTTATCTCTTATCATATTTTAAATAAAAATAATAGCATATGCATATATATATATATATATAAATTTATTTTCATTGTATATAAAAATTTTGAGATAATAAATGAAATAAAAAATAACCGAGCGAAAAAACAAATTATAATAAGATGAAACAGTATGAATCAGAAATAAAAATAAAAGTATATAAAAGTAAATCTCTCGCACTTTGTTTTACAAAGTCACTTAAAAACTTTTTAACACGTAAGAGCCATATTTTAATTTTTTACAAATACGCGTACATATATATATATATTAATTGTACATTAGTTGAAGTTACATGCGAACTTTTCCGTGCATGTATTTTGTTAAGATTGATTACAATCTAATTTTTATTTTAATTATTATTCAATTTATATTTTTTAAAAATCTTTATCTATTCTAAGTGTAGTGAAGTGATTGGTATGCTCGCACTTGCGTGCCAATTATCTATCCGCTCTTAGGAATAAGTAAAAATGATAAAAACTAGTTCAGTTTAATTTGTAATAAATCAAGAAAAATATATACTTAAATATATTATATATGTATTTGCAAATTTATATTATGTAAGACACAAAAAGCATATCGTAGATTGTGTAAGGAGAAATAAAACATATTATAGAAATATTTAAAAAATATTATAAGAAATTAATTATTATTTAACCTAACTTTTATATTTGTGATTATATATTATTACAAGCATTATAAATATAAAAAGTTTTAAAATATATTGGTTTCAAAAAGAAGTTTGTGAAATATTAAAACAATATATATATATATACAAACATACCAATATTTAAAAAAACTAATCAACATTTAAATATTACAATTAACTATGTATATCAAAAAAGTTATACCTGCACATATATGCGGGCCAACCACCTAGTTGTAGGTAACATATCTCCATCTTATCAAAAGTCAAAACTATCAAATTCGGTAAGAAATCTACCTCAAAATAATTTGATTCCTAATTTCATTTTTTTTTAAATTCATATTGGTGGAAATTCTGGTTCATGTGGTACAGGTTGTATCAAAGTAGTATGATAAAAACACTAAAACAATTAAGTTGAAGGAATAAAAAGAATGTATTTGTTCCATATATATAATATAACGTAACAAGAAAGCTAAATAAGCAAATAAAATTCAGAAAATAACTGGACCTATCATTCACCTTCACCAAATCTATAAATACAAAGATAATCCTGAGAGACAGCACAAACAAACTCGATCTTATTTCTCAAGTCTAACTGTTTCATTATTCACTTCTCTCGCTACTTCTTCATTCTTCTTCATTCTTCATCTCTTTGACTTGTGGAAAACTGAAATGGCAACGGCGTCGTTTAACATGCAGTCAGTACTGTTCACCGCTCCATCCGGTGGATTGAGCTCACGCAACATCAGAAACACAAACCAACTCTTCTCCAAGAGGAATGCTTCGTTGGGGGTCAGGTGCATGGCTCAGGTATGTACCTCTCTTTTCATCACTTTTCTTTACGTTACTTGTTTGACTTTTAATCCTGACCGTTCGCTGCGTTGGCTCTTTCTTAAAGGATCCTATCAAGGAAGACTCTTCTTTGCCTTCGACCTCGACCACTCAACCGCAAATGCCGCCGTCTCCTCCACCAGTTACCAAGCCTAAGGTATTATTCAATAATCAAAGTCATTATTATCATAACCAAACTCATGGTGGTTGTCTGGTTGAAGAACTTATTCTTAGAGTTTGGGGACGAGGGTTCGATCTGCGATATTAGTTATGGTTGGTTATATTGTTGATACTTTAAATGGCAAAAATATCAAAAGCAAAGTTTATAAGTTACATGATCGAGTGGCGTTTGCGATGAGACTATATTACATATTCTGGTTTCCAAATCAAAATCTTCTAGTAATCCAAAACATTATGCTATGGTACATATAGACTTACTACGTTGTCTTAGACTGGTTATAAATAAAAAGGCATTTCATATAAGTTTAATTTGATTAGTTAATTGCGAGTTGTATGATTTGTTAATTGTTCAGGTGAGTACCAAGTTTAGAGATTTACTAGCGTTTAGCGGTCCAGCGCCGGAGAGGATAAACGGGAGATTAGCTATGGTGGGATTCGTGGCAGCGATTGCGGTGGAGCTGTCGAAGGGAGAGAACGTGTTTGCTCAGATCTCCGACGGTGGCGTCGGGTGGTTTTTAGGAACGACGGCGTTGCTGACGTTAGCATCGATGGTTCCGCTGTTCAAGGGAATAAGAGCAGAGTCAAAGTCCAAAGGGTTAATGACGTCAGACGCCGAGCTATGGAACGGTCGGTTCGCGATGCTCGGCCTCGTCGCGCTGGCCTTCACTGAGTACGTCACCGGCGGGAGTCTGGTCTAAGTCTCTTATTGTGTGGTTTTTAGGGAGAATTTGGAGAATGATAAGTAAAACATAGTTTGATTTTTAATATGTTTTTTTGAAGTTGTGGAACTGTCGACGTGATCGAATTAAAATTTGTTCTATTGGTTCGTTAATTACATGAAGACGGACGCAAAATGATTTTTTTTGTCAAATGTAAAACTGATTTTTCTCCCAAAACTATAAAATCGGATTATCCTGGTAAGACCATTTTTTCTTATCAAAATCGCAAAAATATTTTATTCATCAAAAGTGTAAAATTAAGTTTTCTTATCAAAATCATAAATTACATTTTTTCTTCTCGAATCTATAAAATCGTGTTTTTCACTAAATCTTATTGAGTTTTTCCATCAAAAACCACAAAATTATATTTTTTTCGTCAAAACTGTCAAAACTGCAAAACCAAATTCTTCTGCCAAAACCATAAAATCATGCTTTGTGTCAAAATTATAAAATTGTATTTTTCACCAAACCCACAAAATTATATTTCCCACAAAACATCATTTTTTCGTTAACATTGCAAAAATTAGTTTTTCCGCCAAAATTATATTTTCTATCAAAACTATTTTTCGTCGAAATTTATTTCTAAAAAACTTTTGATTCTTATTATCTTAAAAAATCATTTTAATTATAGATAAAATCAATAGATTGAAAAATATACCATTTTGATCATTTGGAATATTTTGCTTTCAGTTTTTTTTTATAAATACACACATTACATTCAAATGCTATATCTACATTGCAAAACTTAGTTTTAAAAACGAACAATATCTAAATATTGCATCATCTAGATTAAGAAACAAATAAAGCCTATGTCTTTGCAGTTTTTTCTTGGCATTATCTATTTGTTTTCATCTTCATAAATAGAATACAAAAAACTACAAATAAATCTCTACAAATACAAAAACGAAACCATCATATTTTATCAGTTTCAAACTGATGAATGTTCTACAAAATAGTTTTAAAAAATATGTATGTTCTCTAATTTATATAAATAATTAAGTATGTATTTTTATTGTCCTTTTTGAAATTCTTTTTTCTTTTCTTTATAATAATAATAAATTAGATCAAAATATTCAATTAATGAAATTTTAAAAAGGATAAGACATGATGGCTCTGGTTTCCACGTCTCTTTTCCTAACCCATCAGTACTCTTATTTACAAAATACTTTTATGTTCAAAATTCATATTTATGTAAGTGAAGCCTTAAACTTGAACATGTTATTGTTCCGTCAGTTTTTGGCCATTATCAGTTTCATTGCTGCCGATGATGATAAATTGCAAAGTTGTTTTTCATATTATAATAAATCACATCTGACTTTACTAATTTAGCATATACAAAAATACATTAAAAAAAAACTACTCATCAACTCAAGTTTAAATCTATATTCTCCATTTTATTCTTCTTGCTCTTTTTGTCCAACTCCAACATCACAAACAACTTGCAAATTCAAATCTGTTCCCTTTCCATTGAACCCATTTCTTTTCTCCTTTCATGTAACACTTCCACCTCTATTGTTTGTATTTTGAAGAATTTGAGCCAACCACACTCTCTAATTTATCAATGTTTGCTAATTCTTCAGCAAGAAGTAGTGTTCTGTTTAATTAGTATTTTCCCAATGTTATTATTTATTTCAAGACAACGACTAAGGATGATGTTTAGCATCATTAATCATTATATTCATTTCTGTCTCGATTTTCTAAAGAGCCCTGGGCAAAAAAAAGTACTCCAGCCATCGTTAATCATTAGATTCATTCCTGTCTCCTTTTAGTATAGTTTAGAAAAAAAAGAAAAATGGACTCCTTTTATCTTACAAAAAATTTAAAATGTGAAGTAGACCCTGAGCCTGTCTCTCTCTCACCACCCTTCAGAGTTGGACTTCGTTTAAATCATTAATGTTGAATCAAAAAATCATCATTAGAGTTTGTGATTAACGGTTATAGATTTTGAAGAATAAAATTTTTATTAATAGCTCAAAGATAAAATAATTATAAGAAATAGTTTAACCGAGAGGTTATGCCGAAGTGAAAGAAAAAATTTTTATGCAATGAACTAGAAATTTTGGAGTTTTTAGGTATTGCTCTACTGCTCTCTAGATTATATGAGTTGTTTTTCTGGTGCTTCGGGGTCTTCTTATTTATAGGAATAGGAGGTCGGTTGCTGCGAGCTCCTTTTTCTTTTCTCCTTTGATGAATATTTCCATATTTACGATATAGAAATATCCTTTATTCTCCGAAGAATATGAAAATTCTCTTTTATCTTTGAATATTCCTTCGAGCCGATCCGATGTTCTTGGAATTGAAGAATATCTTCAAAGAATTTCCTTCTTGAGCTACGTCGGCACGGTCTCCTAAAGCTTGATGGGCTTAGGTTATTGCTATCCCCCCCCCCCCCCCCCACCCCAGTTCGGTGAGACTGATTGTAAATCAGCTCGGCGGACTTCATGAAGTAAATGGGTTTGATCTTGCAATAAGCGTCGGTAGAGTTCCGCCTAGCAAGGTCCACGAGTGGGACTGTTTCTTTTTGTTTGTTAAGATCAACAAGGCTTCTATCGGTAGTTCCGAGCTCGATATATTTAGAACTTGGAAATTGAAGCCACGTAAACGCATTAGTCATATTTGTTTGCGTACGTCCTGCTGATGTTGAGACGCCTGATTTACTTGTCTTGCTTGTGTTCGCAGTGTCTATCTGTCTCGGGGAGGATCCCTTTGGTCTGGATGTTGACATCAAAAAGCTTTGCGATCTGAGCCAACGGTTATGGCCCGCGAAGGAAGAGAAGAATTCTGCTGAAAAGAAAGCAAGGGGTGCAAAGCCAGGAAAAAAAACAAAGGCTTCAAAAACAGGTGTGTTATAGGATTACAGTAATGCCGTGCTTGCTTTTTTGAGCATGATGTTATATTGTTGCGTATTATGATGTTTCAACTGCTAAGAGGACATCGCAACCAAGACCCGAGGGGACAGGTCTTAAGAGAAGAAAAACGATCCCAACAGTGGAGGTTGATATCCCTGTGAACACCTCCTCCAAGCGGAAGAAGGCAACTCCTCCATCTGGTCTTATTCGGGTGGATTCCGATGAAGTCGCGCTGGCTTCAGATGGCGAGGGTCCCGAAATTGCTAGGTTATAGTATTCTGTGTATGGTGATTATTTTTTTTAGCGAACTCAACGCGTCTCTTGATGCTCCTTACCGTTGGTTTGCAGCTTCACTAGGGCTGTAGCACGGGAAAGGCTTAAGAAGCCTATTGCTGAGAATAATGAATCAGTTCGGCAGACTGATTCTCGAGCTAAAGATGGGGATTCCCATTATGTTGACGCAAACTCCCGCGGAGCCGCCTCCCTGCTTGCTGGGACCAGTGTTCCCCAAGATCCTGGAGCTCAGGAAACAGAAGATGCGAGTTGATACGGGACCGAGAGCGCCGCTCCAAGTGTTTTTACCGAGCCAAAGCCGGAGGAGGAGTTTTTTATTGCAATCCCAACCACATCAGCTTGAAGTGGGATGGCGTCACTCCGACGATGCTCGATCGCGAGTTTGCTGCAAAGTTGATCTAGAGGTGCAAGAAGAACCCGATGTGGGGTAAACCTCTGCGAGAGATGAAGTTGGCGGAGTCCATAATCTCGACGAATCATCTGATTCGTCAGGTATTTTGTACGAGATCTCTCAGTTACTTTGTCTATACGTATGTTCTAAGAACGAATCGTGGTACAAGGTTTAGGGGAGTATATGTCTGCGTTCCGGACGTATGACAAAAATCTTTGCGAGGAGGAGATGAAGCTGGACTGTGCATATATGATATATCATGGTTTTTATGGTTTTTAACCATGATATAAGTCCTTTTTATTGAGTCTTTTTGGTCTTTTTAGAGTCCTAGAAGAGTCTTTGCAGGTTATAGCATGCCTGGAGCATAATTGGGGATATTGAAGCTTTTTGGAGTATTGCAAGTTGAAGCCACGAAGTACCTAGCTCGGAGAAGAAAGTATGCGATATGGTGACGCTCGTCACCCACCAAAGAAGGAGTGTGGCCTGATTTATTAAAAGTATGAAGACTATTTGCAGAATTAGCCCATAAGTTCCAATATTTACAAGAAAGCCCAGATCGTGTTTAGCCTCTATTTATTAGGTTTTTCAGCCATTGTTGGCTTGGATCTTAGTTTTTGAGAATGCAGAGAGTTAGAGAGAGATTTATTCAGAGCTCTTTAGGGAGACAGATCCTGTACTCTTTTGAAAAGATTTCGAACCCCCTTATTCTTTTACTCTTTCTCTTAATGCAATTTTATTCAGTTATGTTTTGTGATTCCATGATCATGTCTGAGTAATCTGCTAGTTAAGTTAGGGCTTTTTCAAAGGTTGATGAAGAGTTTGTAGAATTGCTACCTGTTAGGAATATCTTTTGGTTTTTCATCTCTGCTTGCTTTAAAATCGAATTTCTTAGACACATCATCTAGAAATCCGAAAATCATAGGTTGTTAAATATATGTGAGGGCATTATTGATAACCTGAACTAGTATTTGATAAGCAAAACAACTTAGTGCAAAGAGATTTGGCCTGAGAGTTTTGTGAACAATAAAATCTGATCATTTCTGCATGTTTAGGTTGTTAGGGTTTGCAAAGAGATTTGAAACTCTGTGATTTAAACATAGTTAACTTCTGCATTGAGAATTGATTAGTTATATATATGAATATTCATGTTCAATACGGTTCTTAATCATTCCTGATTTCATGCATTCTATATTCTCGGATTCAACCTGCAAACTGTCCTGACTTAACGCTTTTAGTCTTCTGAAACTTATATCAACAGCTTGAATTTGGTTTGCTTACTTTTATTTATTCATTTGCATTACATACATTACATTCTGCTTAGCTTAATCCGAACCTACATTCGATAGTGTAGTTTGCATTACTCTTTTGGGATTCGATACCCCTTGTACTACAACTGCTATTGCTGTGCACTTGCAGTAGTTTTATTTGGGTAAAACCTGAGCCCTATCAATATACGGAGTTCGAGAGGCTTCAAAAGCTCGAAGAGGAAGCAGAGCATTTGAGAGCGAAGTGTTCTCGACTTGAAGGCACATTACATGTCCTAAAGTTGGAGGTGACAGAGTCATCTCGGCTACATAAAGAAGTCGCAACCCTTAAAGTACGAAGTGAATCCCTCGAGAAGCAAAACGAGGAAAATATACAAAGATTCCTCACTGAGAATGAGAACCT